ATATATATATATATACATACACAATTATACACATACATAAATATAAAGATGAGAATGATTAATATCGAAGAATACTGACAATTTGATATGTTTTGCAGGGATGATAGGAGCGTTACCACCGGGTGCTATGCATCCGGCATTTGCAGCTCCAATGGGATTCCCCGGTGCACCGATGTTGGCGCCAATGATGCATCCACGCTTTAGATGATCGCCTCCCGTGGACGGGCCCACTCCACCATTGCACTTTGTGCTATGGGCTCGCCCCTAAAATCATATTAGGGTTCGGACCGAACTTTTTGACCGACAGAAGATTAAATGAAGATGAAAATGAAGACGAAGATGAAAATAGGAGAAGCAGCACACCCGCTAAATACGTTACGTCTCTTGCGTGGAATACAGTTCATCATCGAACCGGGCCCGTGCCTGCACTTGACGTATCCTGTCCCACGAAGCTTACACGAAGTTAGCAAAATCTTTGTTTTTTATTATATCATTGACGATAAAGACCCACGACGCATCTATACGTTAGTGCCTGAGGGAGTAATAACTCTTTTACTATTACTATTATTATTATTATTATCATTATTATTATTATTATGATTATTATTATGATTATGATTATTATTATTATTATTATTATCATCATCATCATCATCATCATCATCATTATCATCATCATCTTGACCGTGAAGGAAACGGTTGGAACTATTTCCTTTTTTTTCTTTTTAGAAACTTCCTCTGCGTGTCTTGTTAAGTAAAAATTAAACAAAATCATGATGGGGTTACCTTTTTTCTTTTTTCTTCATTTTGTTTTTTAATCGCTTGAATTTTGCTTTCTTAGATTTACCATTTATCTATCTATTATTATTGTTGTTGTTGTTATTACTATTGTTTTATAATTCCTCTTTCTCTAAATGATCTATATTTTATATCTACTATCTTTATTCATTATTTTAAAAAAGATAAAAATATATAAATTACAATCTCTATATTCACCATATTTAATCTTTATATTTATAATGTTTAATGAAAGAACAGAAGTTGTTAATTAATGAATACTTTTTGAGTTGTTAATTGACACACACCAAGTGAGTTTATTTTATGCAAATCTTAATACGATATATATATATATTTTCTAGAAAAATATATGTTTAGCTTGTGAATCTGTTGAACAGGGTGAGATAGGGTGGGGTGGGAAGAGAGTTGGGGCTAATCTAATAGTAATTTTCAATCATGCTTTACATGAAATATGCTTGTATATTTAAATTATTAGATTTTTAGTTTCAACCGTTTCCATACATAGGGCAAAATAATAAAATTAAATCGAAACAAGTAAACTAAACACCTCAGTCACTACACGCCAGTGTCCTAATGGAGAAACGCGATAATCGCGGATGGGTGGCGCTTCACGCTGCAGCTGGGGATGATTAATTATAAAGAAAATAAAAAAGAATAAAATGAAGAAATCGTAGAAAAAAAGAAAGGAAAATAGAAAGAGAGAGAGAAAGAGAGAGAAAGAGAGAGAGAGAGAGAGAGAGAAAGAGAGAAAGAGAGAGAGATTATTATATCTATCTATTTTAATTTATATGTAAATTTCTTTTTCTTTTCTCTTTTTTGAGTTATATATATATTATATTATTATTATTATTATTATTAAAAAAAAAGAAAAATAGAAAAAATAGAAGAAGGAAAAAGATAATCAACGAATTTGGAAGGGAGAAAGAGAGAGAGTTTGAGAATGAAATAGAGATAGAAAGAGAGAGAGAAAAAAAAAATAAAAAGAAAAACAGGAAATAATGAAAGATAAAAAAAAGCACAGGTTTGTTTAGAAAATTAAATTCTCAAAAGCTCAACTTATTTCTGTGTTCTATGACAAATTCGTTGATATACTTTTATGTGATCCGATAAATTGATCGTATGATATTTTAAAAAGTAATAGTAAAAATACTAGCCGCAGTGTGAAGACTCTGTCGCCTCAGGTTAGTCTGTCGTATAAATTTTATTTTGTTAAAATGCTTCAGGTCGAGTTGAAATACTTTTGCCGCCATTCTTTCTTTTCTTTTTTTTTTTCAGTCTTTCTTTCCTATATTTTATATATATATTACAATAATAATAAAACAATAATAGTAATAAAATATAAAAGATAGTACTAGGATCGGCTTTTGATCAATAATTAGCACCAGGCAATAGTAATCGACTCGACTTGAGATAGTCCTTTCCTTTGCAAGGAACATTTTGGTGACGCATGAGTGAGTGGTAAGTACAGAGGGTGCCTACAAAAAAAAAACAAAAGGAAAAAAGAAAGATAAAAAATAATTTAAACGTATATCTATATATATATTAAAAAAACAAAAAGAAAGAAAATAAGAGAAAGATAATGGACACCGGCTCTCTACACTCGACTCACGTCGTATTGTCCACTTTTATCCTTTGCCGTTTCTATTTAAATCGGCCAAACTTGATCGTGAAGTATCGGATTTGATTATTTGTCTCATCATTCTCTCAATCATCTGTTCTGTTTCTACTACTTACTATTACTACTACTATTACTGCTACTATTACTGTTACTATTACTACTATCACTACTACTACTATTTTCATAGAAAAAAATTTCAAAGGAAAAAAGACCTCTCTTCTCGATTCAGTTTCATATTTTCTATCTTATTTAAAAAAAAAAAACAAACAAACAAAAATAATTTGTAATTTTTCTATGTTTCTGCATTGCTCTATCAATTTGATTTTCTTTTCTCGAGTTAAAATTCGCTCTTAGTTAATTTCTTTTTTCTTTTCTTTTTTTTTTTTTTTTGAATATTTTAGTCTCCATCTTTCTTTCTTCAGGGTGTCTATTGATAGCATTAGTATATGTGTGTGTACATATATATATATAGATTGATTGATTGATTGAATTGTTGAAAAAAAAAACTGATACTTCACATAAACAAAAACAAGAAAATATTTAGATCTTGTAATTGTCGGTGCACAGTTTTATGCTTCAGAATACATTCACACATTATGCATACATACATACATACATACACAAACACACTGTGTTTTTAGTAACATAGTGATTATAGTCGTTAACGTATTTTCTTCCTAGTTATGTGTCCTATGATACTTTAGCCAAAACAAGAAAGAAAGAGAAAGAGAATAGACAAAATTTTCATTTCGCTTTTGGAAAAAAAAAAAAAAAGAAAAAAAGAAAGAAGGAAAAACGTGTCCGTAATAAAAACATTTGCATATACGTACATATGTGCGCATACATAAAAATGATTTTTTAAAAGGAAAATTTCTCTTATTTCCCCCGTCGAATTTCGAAATTTGTATACATTTGCTGCTTTCAGAAAACGAAGTTGGCACGGTTTACGTATCGCAAAAGCGTGGCGAAGACTGTGCAAGAGGAGCTGCTGCCGAAATTCATGTATAAATGAAAGAGAGAGATAGAGAAATATTCAATTAAAATAAAATATAATAAAATAAAATAAAAAATAGAAGATTTGATATATATCTTGAAATTTAAGAAAGGATTGTGTATCTAAATATATTTGTGCGTGTTATAATGGGTCATATTTGTTTTTTTTCTTTTCTTTTTTTTTCAATTATTATTATTAATATGCATTCTTTATATCTTGTTGTTGTGTTAAGTTAATCGTCAGTAGGCACCCTGTTTGTCTCTCTTTTTCAATTTTGAGTTTCTCAGCTATAGTACACTCCGACTAAAACGAATTCTTGAAAGTGCATATCGCGTCGTGTATACAACACGTGTACGTACCTAAATCTACGCATCGTTATTATATAATTTATTTTTCAGGGATTGTCTTGCCGAATTATCGGATTCCTTTTAACTTTCTTTTTCTTTTTCTTCTATTTCTTGTCCTCTTTCCTCTTTTTCCCCTTTTTGTTTCTTCCATCTTTCATCTTCCCAATTCAAAAATTGCCGCGTGAGAATCACGTGGTATCTAGCGTATACGCGCGGGAATACTCTCCTCATTTGAATTCAATTTGCGAGCGGCTTTGCTCTCGTATTCGGCGCATCAGTAGTTTTTCTCTTTTTTTTTGTTTTGTTTTTAAATTCGGCAGGACAATCTGATGGCAGAATTTTTGGACATGTAGAAGTTCTGTTATTTATTGAGTGTCATATTATAGACTGTTCCGAATAAAGACGTTCTGTGGAAAGCTCTACAAAATTGGGCATAATCTGCTTTTCTGGGATAGATACGTTATGTTATTTGTTAATTAATATTTTATTATTATTATTATTATTATTTCTTTTCTTATTTTTTATAATTTTAATTTCAAATACAATTTGTATGTAATGTATGTATGCACTTGAACGCGCGATTTATACGTATATATATATATGTATAACGTATATACCTACATTTTTAACGCAGAATATGTTTGAAATATATTTGCACACCTCTCTCTCCTCTTCAATTTTGTTTTTTTAATGAGGAAGGGTAGAAAAAAAAAAAAAAAAAAAATTCGTTTCGTTTCATCCCAGAATGGCGGGCGATAGCCACATATTGTTTCAACCAATCACAGCTCTCACCGCTGTTGGACCTTACCGGTCCCTTGCCTCAAGGCAGGCGATTGTTTGGACCTACCGTCCTGGTCTCGAGGTACCCATCATCTTCCCAATTTTATTAGCCAACAAATTCTTTTGACATCTTAACGATAGAGAAAAAAGAAACAGATTTGTATATATAGATATTACACAACAGAGAGATAATTATACAAACAATGAAAATGTACAGTAGCAACGTGAGAATAATTTAGATATAATATCATAATATCTATTGTATTTTCATGTTGCGCATCACCCGAAGAAAGGAAGAGATCACACTATGATGATGAGATTACGAAAGGGATATATGTATATATATGTGTGTATATATACATATATATATATGACTTTTAGGCAGAAATAAAATGTGGGAATTCCGTGGTCCTCGGTGCCATGGGCGCGTGGCTGGACCGAGAAACAATATTAATCGTTATAGGTAATGAGTCACGGGTAAATCGTATTAACCGAATCGATCGTTTGGAATTTATCGATACGAATGGGTTACTTGTAATTTATTTATCATTGTTAGCATTCATTGATTAGATCTGATTTACACTTCTCGTCTAAAGAAGATAGCCTTATATAGATATACTATCTTTTAATTTATCAAAATTTTACATTTGGAATGAATGTGATATAAAAAACATTACGAGCTTAGAATATGCAGTTCGTTAAATATAAATTACACATTGTTATAAAGTTTAATATATATATATCTGTATATAAAGAGAAAAATGATAGTATTTTTATTGATTAATATATTCCATACTTTTTAATATATCAGATTACGGTAAGGGCCCAATTGTATCGAAAATTCCTATCGTTCGTAGAATGCTTAGCTGGCTCTGTGTGTTATATCGATACGTTAATGTATCTTACGTTACGCAAGGACCCCTTACATTTTCCTATTTCCTTATTTCGCTAATAATGTCTTTACACTTGGTGATAGCGGATGCACGATTCGCTCGAGGGGGATCGCTTTGCTCGAAGAAACCGGTAACACGGTGCCTCTTTATCATCCTAATATTTTTATCCATCCGGTTCGATCCTTGTACGAATTTAAAGTGCCAATTAGAAACGACGATTTATTTTTCTTTTGTTTTTTTTTTTTTTTTTTTTACCATCGTTACAATTACAAAAAGTCATAACATTCTTTGAAACATTATTCGGTTTTGTAAACATGAAAACCGTTTCACGGTAGTCCGTGCTTGTTGTTCTACTACTTTTCTTTTGTTTTATCTTTAATAGATTCGTAGATTTGTAATATAAAAAAATGAACAAGGAAAAGTCTTTGAAGATTTTGCTAAATTAATTATTGCACTTTATCTTTGTACAGATCGTCCGCAAAAATTCTAGAAGTAGTCTCTATACTCTTCTACAACATTGTTGTTTTCAGCCGACTGCGTACGAGCAGAACGGACAGAATGTCGAAGAAAAAAATGTTTAAAAAAAAAAAAAAAAGAAAAAGAAAAAGTAAAAGAAAGAAAAAAGAATGAAAATAAAAGAAGGAAAATAAATTGAAAGAAAAAAGAGAAAAGAAAATATAAAAAAGAAATGAAGAGGTAACACTTTGAGAACGTGTATCTCGATTATAAAATTCAATAAATAAATGAAGATTGTTCACAATATTATATTGAAATGGACACCGTTGTTCTGCGATCAATGCAAATTAAATCCTTGTTCTTATTTCTTTTTTCTTAAATTCTTTTTAACGTTCTTCCAATTAGTTTGTTTGAAATGAATAAAACATTTCTTTGATCGCAGAAAAGCCAGTTTCATAGATCTATTAAAATCCTGTGAGAAAAAAAATCATTTCTTATCCAAATCCATGTTGTTATCCACGTTGTTATCCACGTAGAAGATAATTATAGGAATCACATTTAAAGACTGAGTCAAAGGATGTTGTTGTAAACGATAACAGACGATTAGTCTTATTTTGTTTTTTATTATTGATTCATTTATTTCGTTAAAAAGTTTACCAAAGGTAGCTGACATATGAGCCAGCTGCGAAAGCGATAAATATGAAGGAGAGAAGAAGGATTTTTTCAGCGTGAATAAATTATGCTTAATGAAGATTCGTTGTTGTTTAAGAACGTACATAAGTATTTTATGTTTTTGTCACCGAGGTTGAATTGTGGCAGTTTGTTTGCAGAAGACTTAGAGATATCTATAGATTGACGAAGAAGAGAGAAAAAAGAAAAAAACATAAATTAGATACAAAAAAAAAAGTATATCTTAAAAAAATCTGATACTGATTAGTATCAGAGAGAAAGAGATAAAAGTAAAGAAGGAATAATTCGTTTTTGAACGAACATTGATTTGACTTATAATAATACCTAAAAGCAACGAGAGAGATTGCTAAGTTTTCCCAAATTGTTGTTCTCTGTACGTTCTCGTAGTAGTTTGTCATAATTCTCGTTGCATTAAATCCAAACCCACAAAGGTGTAACGCTGTCGAAGTCGAAGACATCCGGTTGACCCATAATGTGTGAAATATTTGGAAATGATTTAGACCATTGAAAGGGGGATGTTAATTCGTTGAAACGAACCGGACCGGAAGTAGCCTCGAACAGTTCCAATCCGTTCAGATCGGCGGCTATTATTTTGCTGTCGATGACACCCATCGGTAACGGCGGCTTCTCCAAGTCACCTCTGTAAGTTCGGATTTGAGATAAATTCAAACGATAAGTTTCATTAATATTCTCTAGAGTGGACGACTTCTCTTCTTGGCTGCTGTAGCCGCCTCGCATAAAATTTCTAACATGTTCCATTATAGTAATGTTCTCTTGCGACTGCATCAAATAACGTTTCCTCGTTAAAAGATCATCCTCGTTGATAGTACCAGCTGCTTTCTCGATCTCTTGGAAATATGGTAAACCAGTACAAAGGATAACACCGCTATCGGTCAAATTTTTCGTATAATCGGCAACGTGAGTGATACTTCCTAATTGTTCGATTAACCAAACGTTGGCGGATCTTGGTTCGTATGTGATCCACTGGTGCATCGAATTGACACCATTTTGAAAAGTTAAAACTTTAGACCACGATTTGCTATCCGTTGCTAAACGATTTGCTGCCATTACTCTGATGGACGACATTACCTGATGGAATAATAACAAATATTTTATATATTCGTAGTTTACAATGTATAATAACGTTACATGTTTTTACACAGAACCGTACTTGATTTTCCAGACTTGCAAAATCCCAAGGATCACGAGTTGGAACTGACAATGGCATACCAGCAACTATCAACTCTCGATTTTCAGATGTCATTAAATAAAACTCATCGTGCGAGGAAAGCGCTCCAGGATATGAAGACATGATGATCGATTTAGTTGGTATTAGTGCTACATTTTTTGACCCAGGCAATACATGATAATTGAATTTGTATCTTTTCAAAAGTCTCAACATTTTGGCGTATCTGGAAAAGAACACGAATTAGGCAAGTTTTCTTGATTCTCTCCGTTGACAAAAATTGTACGATCGTTCTTTATAATACCCACGATTTATTTATTTTTTTTGTTTCATTTGATCCTCGCTGCATAAAACCATCAGAATTTGATCAATTTGTTCTTTTTAATTAACGACAGTGTTACGTCAATGGTAAATAATTGATACTTACGGTGCAGCAGTGTTGTGTCCAATTGCAATAAGCGGTGGTTGTTTCTTATTTTCTCTGGCAAGTGCTTTAAGAAAAATCATGCCTTTTTCGCCGATCGAGGTGTTCGATCCATTGATCAATGTTAAATCGTCGTAGGATAAATCAGAAGCCATTGCTAGCCAAAGAAAATCTTCCGTTTGTATTTCTGCCGATTGACGACTGCGACGTACCGCGAAACGCCAACCAACTTCCAAACCATCCAATTGTGCATAAAACAATCGTACCTTCATCGACAAGATTATCGAGCAAAATTATAAATTACGAGGAATAATAAACGAGGGGAGAAATCATTTGTTTATGGGAATGATACGCACCATATGCCAAAACGAGTCCTTAGATTCCAACAACTCAGCACGCTCGCGTATCACAGCTGCATTCTCCCGAAGATACCGTCGTGATTTTCTACATTCGACTGGATTTTTATTGCATATTACATTGATGGTGTTGTACCAATGATGGTGTATCAATTGCCACGTTAAACTACCTTCCAAAAGGCCTGCCGCATATGCTTGTACTGTGTCCGGATATTTTGCCGATGTTTCAATTTCAATGATAGACCACCTGTGTTAACGACATTTTTCAAGAGGTATATAAAATTAGATAATTACTTTTATTTTATCGCATTATCCAATTAATTTTTCTCTATCTCAGTGTTAAGAAAAAATTTGATATTTAACACTAAACCGGTCTCGTATTGATCGGACCAATAACGGAATGCAGAATTTGATGAAATATTTCTTGGAAAGAGAAAAAGACAAATAAACAAACCGGTCATGCGATACGTTTAACATTCATTGGGGAAGAAAGTGTATTTTAATTAAGGATGGAATAGAAAAATGTTGTATCTTATTTTAATAATCAATTACTATTCCTTTTTACGAGATTTTGTAGCCAACTTTTGCTTTCAGAGATTGTAAAATGACAAGACTAGGAATTATTAGGATACTTTGGGGTACAAGAAGAAACAAAATGTAGACAAACCCATTTTCTAAAATTCCAGTCTTGTAATATGCACGTGCGGCATTTAATGAAATAGCTGTAAGATCATTGCCTTGGCCCCAAAAGTCAATACGGTATCCTCCCTTGTGATTCCACGACACAGTTGCTGAGTATGTCCCATCTTTCTCAACACTGTAAGTAAAGAATACAATTAACAAAGAAAAATGAAAAAGAATCTCACGATATTTGATATACATTATTTTCAAACTTCATCGTGAGAAGATACGCGAATTCTCTCTCTGTATGCAATTCACAATCTCTGAGTATGCAATTTATTTAAATGTCTTTGCTAAGTGTTTATTTATTCGAGCGATTAATAACGAGTGAAATATAGTATTTAGTATTTAAATAAATCACGTCGTCGGATGCTATCATCGCGAATTTGTATTTCAATATTCTTTTTTGTTTTTAATTAAAAACCAATTGTTATCAATTGATATCATTTCTCGTTAACATTATATAGTAAAAAAATGAATATAATTTTTATAATTATTAATTTTTTAATAGAAACTTCATTGACTACTTTATTTTATTAGATATATTTATTTTGATATGAAAACTTACTGTCCAAATTCACCAAGAATGATGGCGCCGACGCCAAGAAGAGCGACGGCGACAAGAATGTACGTGGAGATGCGCGTTTGCAGCCAAGAAGCGCCCACTACCTTCAGCATGGCTCATCGGTAAGCTAAGCACCTTGGTAACGAAGAAAAGAAAAAGGTGGAAGGCACGAGTTTCGCGTTCTCAACCCATCGATTACAGAAGCCTGCTCTGTGGCCTCTTCTAGTGCTCTTAGAAGTTGCCGGTACGCGCGTATCTTCTTTTTACTATAATAAATACATACAAATAATCATATACATTTGTTGTATATACCGTATCATAAGTAAATCATTTTCTTGTGGAGGGTGCATTATTTAAAATTATATTACAATTTAAAATATCATTCACGAGAGACGAGTAATTATAATATAAAATTGAAATATGATCACAGTTGATTAGATCCGATATAAAATTGACTTTTAAAGTACGGGAAAAGATAAGAACGTTGAGATTACTAAAGTCAAGCAACTTGGACACGATTAGTAAGCTGAATGGATGACCAGTACGGATAAATAAAACCACATGCTATTGACTTTAAAACAGTCTGTAAAAAAGACGCGAATTCTTTGATAGTATTGGATAGCTGTAGAGGTGTTCGTTAAAATATAATTCAATACAAAAATAAATGAAAAGCATATGACACTGTTTATGACAATGAACATTCCTATAACAGGTATATTGGTGTATCAATGAGCTTGCACTTCTCTTCTGGCATCATTCCGGTTCTCTCTCTCTTTCTCTCTTTCACACACACTCTGTGAATGTTATCTTACATATAGAAGATTTATGTATGCAGATAGAAGTGTGACTAACAACGTCCCCCTCCCCCCTATCCCGATAGAAAAGGAGAAAACGTTTCAGAATTAGAAACTTGCGAATTGAAGGCAAAGGTTAAGGCTATATAACACCCACTCAATATAGTATTGGCACTCTATCTAATTGGATACAAACGAGTTGCAAATCATATATAAATACATTGCATGCTTGGTAATCTTTTATTGCAGATAAAAGATATTTTTCGATTTCTTTTTAAAAAGTCAGATAAGTTCCAAGAGTTGGTAACTCAAATGTATTATCTTTCTAACTAACAAGATTATTTTGTTCTTTTCACGCGAACATCACGTTGTAATCTTTTTCTATAGAAACCATTTATAGCGTTGTAATAATATTGTTTCTTCTTATTATTATTCTGCTTTAGAGTAAATTTTTACAGTTAAAAAAGAGAGACACGTCATTGATAAAAAAGATACGAAAAGGGAAGTTTTCTCGAAATCATGCTCCTTATTTTCAACGATTGCTTTTAACTAGTATTGTGTTTAAACATATACACACACACACAAATACATTGTATAGAACTGCACTAGTTTCATGCATCAGTGATAAATATTCGCGACGTGCAATATTGCGCAAGATGTTAGTCATTCGTACTCGATAATGGCGATTCATCATTCCGATGTCCCTTTTTATTTTTTTTATTTTTTTTATATTTACACTCGGTTTGTCAATGTTAAATATTAAACTATATATTCAATACTATATCATATGTATATCGTACAATTATAATTGTCTACATTTTATATTCATTAATTTATACCAAGTGATATATTGTTTTTTTATTCTTTTATTTCCTCTAAGTGTTTAAAAAATTAATATTAATTAATTATTTATATATACAGAGTGTCCTGTAACTGGTTGTATAATAGAGCCAAAGGATTGATTATACATGAAAAACTAAATAGAAAATGTTGATTTGAATTTGTTCACTTGACGCAACCATGATGAAACTTGTTTCCTTGTTTGATAAGCATAAGATTACATAAAAGTAACACAGATACAAGAGATTTTATTATATTAACAATATTTGAAAACTTATTAAAAAGCATAAAAATGTTCTTCGAAATATTCGAGAGTAAGAAGATATCGAAATTTATCGAACTGAAATTGAATGAAGTTTGCTTGCATCACAAGTTATATATAGGGCATCCTGTATATACAAATTAATTATAATTAAAAGCAAATATTAAGTATATATACATTTTTAAATTTATATTAATATAAAAATTGAGTGAATAATTTTGTCCTTAGATAAAGGAACACTTAGATTAGTGGTTGATCATGCATATCTTTGAAAATCCTGTTAACTGGTTTCCTCTTTTTTTTTGACCGCAAAGAAGAAGAAAAGAAATAAAATAAACGAGAGTATCGAATTTATTAATATTGGACTTTATATTGGAGAATAATAAGAAAAGACAGAAAGTTAGAATGTTGAAGACTACAGAGGGACTAACATAAGAGAATAAGCTTTCGTATCTACACTCAAGAGACAATCTGTGGGAACTGAGCCAAGAGTGCAAGAAGAGATCTTGTAGTTCTTGGTAAAATCAAATGATTCGATCGAATCGACATAAACTTGTCTGCTATACCAACTACTTTCAATCTATGATTTATGTCTTTAAACAATTTTAAGATATCAAAGTTACCCCCAAAAACGTAACCAAAAGTTTTCTTCTTCTAAGTACTCGAAAATAGAAACAAATAAAGTATTGGGAAAGAGTTTTCTATTAAAATCGTATGAATTTATCCTTGCAGTATTCATGTATATGTGTGTGCGTGTGTGTATATGCAAATCTTGTATAACGTCATGTAAATTTTAAATCGTATATTATTATAACTGAATTTCGCACCCGGTAAAGTCGCGTTTCATTTTGTGTTTTGATAAAAATACAATATATCTTTTTATAGAATTTAGATGTAAATATAAAAACAGTTTTAATTAAAAATATTCAAAGAAATTTCTCTATTTGTATCGGATAAATTATTCCACTGTTTAATATTATAAAAACGTCTACAGATCGCTTTCGTGATAACAATTAGATGTTGAGTTATAACAAGAATGAGAAAGAGAGAGAGGGTATTTAACACTTTGTAGAAGCAGATGCCGTTGTGTCAACTAACTTATCGCTTGTCGTAAACAAAACGCTTTGCGTTTACGCTATTCATCAATTTTATCATTTCCTTTGCTTTACAATTTCTGCAAAAAATTCTTATTACCTCTTATTTGTGTTTTTATTCTTAATATTATAATATTAACGTAAATTATTTTTCCTACCTAAAGTCGTAACGAAACAATTTCATATTATACAATAAATATATAGTATATTGTTTAAACTAAATATATCAAATAATTGTAAGTAAATCATTCGAATAAAAAGAGACACGATTAGATAGTCTGTAAAAAAATTCATGCTTAGAATACATAATATTGATCAATCGTATCAACGATCTATTATAAATTAACCGCTTGGATCATTCGATCTATACAAATATTTAAACCAATAACATTCCTAAATTTATTATCAATTATACGTCAAAGTATTCCATGCGTAATTCAAATTAAATCTTAATCAACGCATTTAAAAAAGAAAAAAAAAACAGAAGACATTTCAATTCGCATTTAATCAAATCACGTTGCGTTCACGACCAACCACGACTATAAGTCACGTTCTTAAGTCAATTAAAAAAATAAGATAACTAAAAAGAAACGTAGAGAATATTATAAAATAATCGTATATACAAGAGAGAAGGAAGGAAGGAAAGAAATAAAATAAAATAAAATAAAATAAAATAAAATAAAATAAAATCAGACGAGGGGGGCGTCTGAAAAAAGACGCGGTGTCCCGCGCTGCTTGGCTCGGTCGGTAACGTAAAATTCTTTTTATATTTTTTAAAAAATGACAAAAAATAATGTTTCCACAATTATATTATTTGTTCTCGTATTGTTTATAATGTTGGATTTCGGTTAAAAATGAAAATATCTGATATTATGTACGTACCGTTGACGTTAATATACCTGTTGAGATGTTTAACGCTGCGTACACGGTTAAAGATTCGGTGATTCTCATCGGAGATTACATTCCTCACCACGTGCTTTGTATATTATCCCGGTCTTTATGAGACACGATGGACCAGTTGCTCCGACACTGAAATCCTATTGCAAAGACTCTGTGTTCCCGACTGGCACTGCGCGTCCAAGGGCAACGTGCCTCTTGATTACCCCCATCACTTCCGCTTAAAACCCCACTCCAAAGGTTCCCCCGGCGTCTTCTTACCCCCATTCAAACCATTCTCAGCACCACTCCCAAGTAATTCTTCTACCCCACCACCATTAAATCGCTCGGCAACATCAAGCTCGTCGGACGTCTAACTATCAGCAGCAGACACACGCCAAGTCGTTGTTCTTGATGGTGGTGATGATGATGCCCGGTGACGACCGATGACCGGGGATTTTTATTTTTTCTTTTCCTTTTTCTCAACCTACGGATTATATCTTTCATCGGTTTATCTTACTCTAATGGGAACTTTTTTTACGAAACATGCAATATATTACAAAGTATTTTAAGATAAGTAAAGAAATAAATTTGTCTGTTGTATTTATAAATGATAGTTTCTCTTTCTTGTAAGTTGGGTGATTATTATGACGGCGCCTTCAGACGAACGTGCTCGCTTATTAAAGAGATTAAAACTGTCAATTATATTCAATCGAGGCTCGTTAAAAGCTAGAACGTGAAATATCTTGTCTTTCTCACAGACACGATTGACCGGCGAATGAGTCTTCTTCGAGATATAAATAAGATAGAAAATATTTAAGCAATTAGAATATAAATTCGCTATTACGAATAATTAACAGACCTGTTTGAAATATTTCACACGGTTTCACATTGTTTTATATTAATGTTGTTTACAAATTTAAATATAATTATATATAGACAATTAATTCGTTGTATTATAAATCGTATATAATTTGTACATACATACTTAAGGATCTGTTCATTATTCGTATATTATTCTTATATAATTTACAATATATATTCTTAAAAAGTTCATTGAACTATATTGTGCAGTTTATGACACCACTTCCTATCAATTTATACAACATTTGTTTTATTTTCTAAAACAATTTCGTATGAAATTTTTCCATTAAACGCTCCGACGAGAAAAAAATGATTTACACAAAATAAATTCAAGATAAATCTTCTGTTATACGGTTGAATTTATTCTACTTATAGAAATAAGCGTAAGGGTGAAAATAACCGGATTGGCCAGATGAAAAAAAAGCCCGACGAATTTCTATGAAAAGAATGAATACGAGATTATGGTTTGAATAGGTAGAAGGTCTTTTTATATTCAAATCCTACCTTCGCAGTTTTTTCTTCTTCTTTTTCAAAAATTTTACATGACCGAGTTTTCGGTTGATAGGTTTATAGATTTTCGAACTATAGAAATAAGAAAAAGGGTCAAACGTTTAACAAAAAAGAATCCCCATGAGACTAATAAAAGATTTTAGAAGACAGAATTATGTGAAGTATTGTTCGTTAGTGACTAGTTGACCCTTCGCATGCTCGTTAACTTGAATGGTTTCTCACTCTTATTTAAAGTATATATTTTTTTATCGGTCAAGAAGATTTCACATCATCTAACAAGCTTTTTACATCGAAAAAATTCGCTGTAGATAAGATAATAAAATAAAAACATCAAAGGTACGATAATTTAGGGTATTGATACGATTTCGGTAAAACATTTTCGGTAAACTTTCATGTCATATTTTTAATGAAAGAATTTTCTTAACTTAGAATTGTTAATATCAATCTATTTTCAATACCATCACGTATTAGTTTCACCGCATTAATAATATTCAGTGCAATAAAGTTTAGTCGAAGAGAAGAGTTTTCTCTCCATCTATGCGTGGAATAATTTCTATGGAATTTCTTTATTACGTTCTACCAAACGGTATGCCTCACTCAAATGGCAAGGGAATGCAATATGGTTCTTCCTTCTCTGGTATTTTGTTATTAAGAAATTTTTAACGTTAAAAATTTTTCCTATTCGTTTAATAAAGTTATGCGTCTCTTTATGTATATGTATGTGTGCGTGTGTGCGAATGATCTTTTTTCTTCTTCCCTTTTCGATATATGAAACCGATCAGTTTGCACAATTAGAATAATTGATTTTTTCGATACGAAAATCATGAGACTGGATTTCATCATTGATATAATTAATTGCTCATTATTTCGTGCAATGCAAGCAATAAATATTACAATATTAATTCATGAATATTATAATCGGCTATCATTTGCAAATGGTATTTTTCCTCTTTCATAAATTACAAAGTATAACACTTCTAATCGATACTGTAACCTTGATAAAAGGAAAAGAAAAAGAAGAAATTGAATTACTAATTATTTAAATCAAACTCGATCTTTCGCTCTTATTCAACGCTTATATCAATATAAAAAAAAAAGAAGAAGGAAGAAAACATAATTTATAACATTTAAAAGAAAAACTGCATATTTGTTCAAACGTTGTAACTAAGCAGATTTGACTGTATAATTAAACATTTAATGCTAATTAATCGATATCTTGTTTAATCTAACTATTAAGAAATGTATTTTACGTAATTCGATTTAAGGGCAATCAAGGATGCGGTAAATAAATTCTATCGATAATATTAATCATTAAATAACTTAAATACGATAGAAAATATTTTGTATATAGAAAATTGTATTATAGAAATTAATTTGACATCGTTTCAATATCGTATTTGTAAAATTCGAATTAAGCGGGAAAATTAAAAAAGTGTTGATGACGTCACGCTTTTGACCCTTCTCAGTTCGCGCTTCGGCCGGCAGATTGCGCGACGATCACGGAGCGTGCGCACCATTTCAAATACGCGCGAAAATTTCAACATAAGAAAAGTGGAAGCGATCAAATCGTCAGTAGCTGTTCATCCACGAAAAACGAAACTAGTTGCAAATATTATATCCAAGTATAGTTAAAATAACTTTAAATTGATCGTTATTAACAAAGAAGATAATTAATAATCAATCAGTTTAATAAAATAATAAATTCGACCATGTTATTCGTGAATTTTTCGGTGTTACTCTTATTAAAAATTGTAAACATCGTCGCGTTTACTTTATCTGTTGACAATAATAATTTAAATGACGTGCACACGATTCCTTTGGGATCGGAAGCTACATTTCATTGGAGGTATCATTGTTAAATTATTCATTAATTTTAAATCTTTGCTATAGCACCTTTCACGAGTTCATCATATCGTTGGAAAGAATATTTAAATGATTTTCTTCTTGTAGTATAGTTCGTGTCTTAGAAAATAATTATTTTTACGTGAAACAATTGTTTTTTAATTATTCGTAGAATCGATTTAACGAGCAAACTGGTGAAAGTAGAAATTCATTACACCGGTGATCAAAATACATGGTTCGCTATTGGTTTTTCCGATTATGGGGAATTTAAACCTGCAGATTATTGTATTCTGTGGACCGATTGGCATCAACAAACTCAATTACAGGTAGATATATAAAAAGAAAAGATTTTTTTTCAACGAATTGTGTCGCAAAAATGATACGATAAAAATAATACAAAATATTATAATTTTTCCATGACGAGCGCGTACTCGTCGATCGCAGCTAACTTATTCAAATTATTTTCATAAGTAAAACGATAATAATGATTAATATTATTGTTATATATAAATTATTAATATATCAGGATGCATGGTCGGACGTTGAGGGTAAATTGATTCTCGATGAAAAACAAAATTGCGATAATTTTGCTTGGAAAAGAAGAAACAATACGATGAAGTTTACATTTACGAGAAAATTCGATACTTGCGACGAACATGATTATATATTCGAGGTAAACTATTCATACACTTGTGTCTAACTTATTTTGAAAAAGAAAATTTATGAATAGAAATTATTTAAAGAAATGTTCATTTTAGAGAGGCACCACGCATATCGTCTGGATAAAAGGACGAGGTCCTTTAACTTCCTTGGCAGGTTTAAAAATAACAGATGGTCAATTTTCTGGCATGGCTAGGACAGAATTGTTACGAGTTATTCATAAAAAACCAACATTTCCTTCGGATGCATGGCAATTCGACGTTACCGTGAAAAATATTCAAATACCGAATAAGGAAACTACTTATTGGTGTCGAGTATTCAAATTACCTTCTCCTTTGAAATTAAAGTAAATTCGTTTTAATCCAAATTTACTGATCCACCTCGCGAATGAACAACCCAACACCCCATGACAATTCATTTTTAATTAAAATTGTTAAACTGAAAACAATTAAAATCTTTATATCTAGGAGAAGAAAAAAAACAAATCTAGGAGCCGAAGAAAAATTCAACACTATACATGAAGCTGAACAGAGTTGCGTTAGGGTAAAATTAATTAGCATAAGGGTTTGAATTCTTCAGTGAACAAAAATTTAATTTCTAAAAACTTCAGAAGTATTTAAAAAATGAAATGGCACGTTGGGTTCATTGTCGAGCTGGATTCGCGATAATAAATATAATTATATTGATTACATTTTTTGAGAAACAAATTCTATATCCAACAGACACCATATTTTACAATTTGGTCCACTGATTCAAGAGGAGAATAAACATTTAATTCATCACATTGAAGTATTTCATTGTTCTGGTCCAGATGACACAGAAGTTCCAATGTACGAAGGACCCTGTGATAGTGTTGATCGACCACAAAAAACTCAGGTATTAAAAACGCTCGAATGACAATTCAATTTTAAATGAACGATCAAATTTATCGAGTAATATATTTCGAAATCAGATATGTAAGAAAGTTCTGGCAGCTTGGGCTATGGGAGCAGATGCGTTTGTATATCCAGAAGAAGCTGGTTTGCCAATCGGTGGTGAAAATTTTAATCCGCACGTTATGTTAGAAGTTCATTACAACAATCCTGAACTCCAAGCTGGTAATATAGATTCCTCGGGAATTCGTTTCATTTTCACGAAAAATTTAAGAAAGTATGACGCTGGTGTAATCGAATTGGGATTAGAATATACCGACAAAATGGCTATTCCGCCACAACAAGTAATGAATATTTCATTGTCTATTGGAAGAAATGAACAATTCCTGATAACTCTATTCATTTTTGATGTATTAATTATTATAGGAATCTTTTCTTTTATCTGGTCATTGTATATCTGAATGCACCGGTGTTGGTTTACCTCAAAGTGGAATACACGTATTTGGTTCTCAACTACACACCCATTTAACTGGCACCAGAGTAATTACTCGTCATTTTAGAGATGGAATTGAACTACCTCGTTTGAATTATGATAATCATTATTCAACACATTTCCAAGAAATCAGATTACTTCCTAAACCTGTTACAGTTTTACCAGTAAGTAATGTTAGCTTACTTTTTATCTTGTTTTTTCTTTCGTTTTTCTTTCGTTTTTCTTTATTCGGACGATACAATTATCGATATTTGTTGTAACGTTAATAGGGTGATTCCTTGATAACGACCTGTACTTACAACACTATGCAAAGAGATAA